TTCCCTCATCCCCAGGAGGGCTCCAGATGCTGGTCCTGTGGTGGAAACACAAGGTAGCTTTCCACAACAGCAGGCCCCAGTAACATGAAAAAGCCTGGAGTTCCAAGAGTTTTATTGTTTACGGTATGTGATAGATGGTCTATATGTCTAGATGTGCACCCCCCCCCCATTTAAGTCAAGGCAGGCATGACCTAAATAGAGGAAGGGGAAGAGGAGGGTCACTTAATTTAGCTATGCCCTCTGGCCTTTAGGTAACTCATGAATATGGAAACTCTCAAGGCTGAAGCCTGTAGTCATACCCTCTACCTGTGTGTGGATGGTGACACAAACCTCTCTGGGAGGGGCTGCATAGTCAAACATGATGGCAAAGTGCAGGTTAAATGGAGGTCTAGACTGCATGTAGGAGCCTGGATTCTGGGGGTGTGGCCGAACACCTGCCGTTTCTCCACTGGAGTCAGGGTTCAAGGCCCATGCCCAGGCAAGAATCAAGATATTCTTCCACAACCCAACATGGCTTGTAGTGTCTTGAGTGCCAAACCAGGATTGGTCATGAGCCTGACGTGGGAGACTTCTTTATCCCTTAGGGTCTCTGGAATAAAAAGCTGGTGTGGGTGGCCCCCATTGACCTATGAACTCTTGTGCCTGCCCTCCCTGCACCTCTGACCCCTTAGGGAACAATGCTGTCTGCCATGCAGACTCATTGCAGTTGCTTCTAGCCTGCTGTGCTCATCTTGGTTCCTCTTCCACAAAGATCATTGCAGGACATCATGGTAGGCCACAGAGCTCAGATGTGCACTAGCTTGGATGGTGTGTTTCTTTTTGCTATTTGCTCTACAAACCAAAGGAAGCATTCCATGGTGGATAAACTTAAATAAACAAACAAACCCACTGAGTAACAGAATGTTTTCTGTGCCAAGCTCAGTAGCTCCTACTCCTTGTCCTAGAACTTAAAAGATTGAGCCAGGAGAATCTAGAATTTAGGGTCATCCTTGACTACTTAGTGAGTTGGAGGCCAGTCTGGGCTACAAGTGACCCTGAATTAAAAAGAGAAAAATCACTTAAGTTTCCTTTTGAGTCTGGCTTCTCCAGCTTGGATCAGTTCATCTGTGCAGCTCGACCACCTATGCACAAATACAGACGCCTCCCTCTGCTTTAGCCTCAGTTACCAACAGTCAACCATGATATGAAAATAAGAAATGGAAAAGTTCTTAAGGAAGCTGTTTGTAGTTTTTGGGTTTATTTGGGGGCAGGGGTGGTTTGTTTGTTTTGATTAGTTTAAGGTTGGGTGTTTCCATGTAGCCCTGGCTGTCCTGGAACTCACTCTGTAGACAAGGCTGCTCTCAAATTCAGAGATCTTTCTGCCTCTGACTCCCCAGTGTTGGTGTTAAAGGTGTGTGCCACCATCTGGCAGTTTGTAGGTTTTAAAGTGAGCTTGTTCTGTGTGGCATGGCACACTTCCTGGACATTCTACCTCATCCACGGTCACAGACCCCTGTGCATGTGGTGCTATGCTGTGGGTACCACCCTCAGGATGGGCACCAGTTGCCTCATTCATGAGGGTTCATGGTCTCTTGGAACTTGAGTTCCAGTGGCCCTTGTTTTCCATGCTGAGACAAGACTGGTGCTATTAGAAGTGTCACACAGAGCCTGGAGAGACGCTTTAACTGAAAAGGTGAAAACCCAAGGGGAGGGAAAGGGAGGCGTGAGCTAAAGGGAACCCTCATTGTTGTGAGGGTCCCATTCCGGGTGTTTCCTTACAGCCATAGAACACAGGTTCCTGCAACCCTGTTTCCAAATGAGCTCACACTTCCACATCCCATAGAACACAGGTTCCTGCAACCCTGTTTCCAAATGAGCTCACACTTCCACATCCTGGGCCAAGGATTTAAGTGTGACTCATGTGGGGGACACGCACCTGTCCTCAGTGGACCCCATAGACTAGCTGCTGGTGACACTCAGTAGCTCTGTTCCAAGGGGCCAGTCACCAGCTCCATAATTGTCTCAGGACCTGTCATTCTCTTGTGTTGGTGAAGCCAATACCAGTCTCCCCATCCGTCCCTGCAGTGTCCCTCAGGGATGCTGGCACAGCACTGACTATTGTCACTTTCAGTTTCTTAGTGACTGGTAAGAGTCAGGTACCAGTCCCACTGGCTTCCTTCTTGGGCCTCAGCCACAGAGTACCCTGACCCACACTCTCTTGCAGTCTTGGACTGGGGAGGACAGTGGTCTTGGTGGCCTTGCTGGGTTCTAGGTGAGCCAGAGCCAGCTCCATGGAGGGCAGTCAGCATGCTTCTTGGGATGGCCAGCAGCTCCGGGGTTCCCTGCTCAGTGCTCAGAGCTGTCCTTCTGAGCATTCCCCGTGATAATAATGGGTCCTTTTTTGCAGAGTAGCAAGCTGTACTGTGAGGGGATCAGCTGGTCTCCCAGCCTCCATCCATCAGAGGCCAGGAGCACTCCTGTAGACATGACACAAGAACATCTGAGAATGTCCAGGGGCCCCTGCATGACCTCTTGCCTGAACATTGCCCTGAGTCATGCTGGGAGGTCGAGGATTCTGCCAGGAGGTTGTCTTTTGTCTGTTTTTAATTATAATTTATCTTATTTATTTCCTTTTTATTTTGATACATGGTCTCATTGTGGCTGTGCCTGTCCTGGAAATCTCTGTATAGACCAGGCTGTCCTTGATCTCAGAGAAATCCACCTGCCTCTGCCTTCCAGATGCTTGGATTAAAGGACTGTGCCATCACACCCAGCCTGATTTTAATTTCTTTCTTTTATATATTTTTCTAATTTCATTTTTAATTATGTGGGTTGAGTAAGGTTTGTACATGTGAGCATAAGTCTTTGTTTTGTTTTTGTTTTCTGTTTACTTTGAGACAGGTACCCATGTAGCTTAGGCTAGCCTCAAAGTTTACTATGTAGCCCAGGATGATCATGGATTACAGATGCTCCTTCCTCTACCTGTGGGTGACTAGCAGGAAAAGTCAGTGCCCAGCTAGGCCCACAGCAGAGGAAAGGTCACATCAAAAAGTTACAGGGCAGGGGTGGGTAGGGGGGAGCAGGTCTGACTCAGATCTTGAAGGCACCAGTTACCAAGCCAGAGAACCTGAGTTCAATCCCTGGGATACACTTGGTAGAAAAGGGGAAATGACTCCCCAAATTTGTCCTTTAACCGCATACATGTACACACACACACAGACACACACACACACACACACACACACACATTGAAATAAACAAATATAAAAACACAGTTAAAAAATAGTATTGGCCAATGTGATGGTGCACTCCTAAAACACCAAGCACTCAGGAGGGAGAGGCAGGAGAATCTCTGTGAGTCTGAGGTACCCTTGTCTACAAAGTCAGTTTCAGGGCTACAGAGAGAAAAGAAACCCTGTGGTAATAAAAAATAAAAACAAAAACAAAAGTTTTAAGTATTGTTAGAAAGTGGGAACTTCTCAGGTGAATGGAATAGGAGCTGGAGCAGGAGTCTCACTGACTAGTTGACACCAGTTTGCTTCTGGAAGCCGGAAAGGTGGCTTCAGGAAATAGTCAATTTGGAGTCTGCAGTACTCTCAGATCATGAGAGTCACAGTGGTATCCTTTCTTATGTCTCAGGCCGTTTCTCTTTTCGTGAATCTGTGTCACTGTGACATTGCATGACAGTACGAATGAGATCTGATCCATTTCTTGGTATAGAAGCTCCAAGGGCTTTGGAGATGGCTTAGTCTGGAAAGTGCTCACTGTACAAGCCTGAGGACCTGAGTTCCTCTCCCACTTCCCATAGAAAATTTGGGCGTGGTGCTATGAACTTGCAATCCCAATGCTGGGTAAGTGGGGACAGGGATTCTTGGGTCTCCCTTACCAACCAGTCTAGCCTTACTCCTAAAGCCCCCTGTCTAGAGAGAGAGAGAGACCCTGTCCCAGAACAGGAATGTACTGGGACTCGAAAGGTGGGTCCTTATTAAACACTTGTTTTAGTGACAGGAAGCACCTGCCAAAGATGGCTGGAGGGAGACAAATGGCTGCCTCTCTCATTTTTATCTCTGAAGAGGGCCACTTAAGTAGTCTTATTGGTAACTTTTGACACTGGGTTGAAGATGACAAATTGACTTGTCTAAAATGTTTATCATTGACCCCAGTGTCCTTGTGAATCACTCATCCCCAGAGCCCACTTGACCAGTGGGGAGCCAGGTTGCTCCTCTTCTAAGTCCAGCTGGGGTTGAGGTAGTCAGTTCCCAAATCTAGTCATCTGGGAGGGCCAGTTCCCTGTATCTCCCCACTGCTGCTGTCCTGGGGATCTAGGCTAAGGAATCTCAAGGCTTGGTAGGCTTCAGTAAAAAAAAAAAAAATTCTCCTCCTCCCATTTGCCTTGCCTCAGGACAGCCTAGCTAATGACTTGTCACCTGTGTCTAGTCCATATTTGATTTGAGTGAAGCCATTTCTTAAATATGGCCTGAGGTCATTCATGGCAGAACTTCCAAGGAAAGTGTGGATTATTCCCGGGTTTGAGAGATTATACAGAGGCCACTTTAAGAGGCTAAATGTTCTCCTTAAAAAGCTCTCAACTGGGTGATTTTGTGGAGGTTCACTCATGCCACACCCTTCACATGATTTCAGGGGATCGAACTCATGCCATTAGGCCAAGCTGGACCACTCGAAGGTGCTGGAGCTGATGGCGCGCACGAATTGAGCTCTAGGCCTTAGGCAAGACCAAAGAGGAAAAGGAAATCAGCTTGTTCAACGTCAATAAAGACTGGAGGAAAAGCGACTGGTAAAACTATACTCATATGACCTCATGTGAACTATCAGGAAAGATACCAAAGGACAAACTTCTTGAGGTAAAAGACAACATAAAGCTGGCGGTGCTGTTTGGGGAGGTTTCAAAACTCTGAGAAGGTGGAGCTGAGCTGAGGAAGTTTGTCACTGGAGGCAGGTCTTGGGGGTTAGTTATAGCCTGGACCTGCTTCCAGTATCATCTCTACTTCCTGGCCCAAGCTATGCATCAACTAGCTGCAACACGCTACGGCTACCAAGGATGGAGTCCCCGCTTCCGTGGATGGATCCCCCACTGCCGTGGATGGATCCCCCGCTACCAAACCATCCCTCCCAAGATCAACCGTATCTCCTCAAACTATCCCACCCGTGACGGACAAGAACAATCTGCGTATTTTACAAATAATTTTTGTAAACCATGTGGAGTGGTTCTACAGCATGAATCAGAAAGGATTTCACATTTTGAGAGTGAAATACATGCTCAAAATGTTAAGTTCTTTTTTCAAATGCATGGAGAACAAAATGAAGTGCCTGGTAGGAAAGTGAGCATGGATGTTGGAAATTCTCAGGTGTGCACGAGTGGAGAAGTCAACAGAAACCCATTTACTGGTCTCTGCAACATGAGTTTTGACTCCGCAGCTGCCGCTCCATCTCACTGTGTGGAAACGAGCCATTCTCAAACTCAGACGCAATTACTGGAAGAGCATAGTCAAGTATCTCCATCCACATGCCCACCAAAGATGGATGATAAACCCAGTACTGCTCCTGCCCTGCCAACCTTCCTGAAGTCTGTTATTGTGAAGCCTCCTCCAGCATATAGAATGAGAACCTACGTATGCCATATCTTCAGTATCACTTTTACATCTTTGTATATGTTCCGGTCCCACATGCAAGGAACTGAACATCAAATTAAAGAATCTCATGTTATCAATCAAGTGAAGAATTCAAAGAAAATGCAAGAGTCTTGCCAAGCTGAATGTGGAGATTACAACCAAATGAAGAAATCTAGAGAGCTAGAGCCCAGGGCTCATTTCAGGAAAATGGAGGAGGATAATTACATGGAAACACATGGATACAGAGAAATGGTTGATTCTACACCCAGACATCAAATGCTTGAACAAAATCTTCCACTTGAAAATTTCTGGGCACACCCAGGACCATACAGTGATTCTAGATCAGTAGAGGAGCAGTTACCTCATAGTTTACCAGCAGAGTCAAAGACATATGACTCTTTCCAAGATGAACTTGAAGATTACATCAAAGGGCAGAAGGCCAGAGGACTCGATCCCAATATTAGTTTTAGACCGATGTCAGAAAGCTATAGGTACAGGGATCACAGGTACACAGAAGGGATTGATCCTGGACACAGACAGAGGCCATGTGAGGAAAGGTTTTTCAGTTGAGCCACCACAGACCTACCAGCAAGAATACAATGGCTCCCCAGTGGAGGACCAATCTCCTTACTGGTTAGCACCTCATTCAAAGAGGAGAAATGATGATTTCCAAAATGAATCTCATGATTACAACAAGGTGCAGGAATCTAGAGAATTCGAGCCAAAGACTTCCTTTACAAGAATTGATAGTTCTTTTGAAACCCATAATTACAAAGAAATGGTTGATGGAAGTTCTAGTCATGGAATGTTTGAGGAAAGACTCCCATGTGAGACTTTCCCGACTTACCCAGCTCCATATAGCAGTGCACAAGCAGTAGAAAACCAGTTACCTCATTGCTTACCAGCTTATGAGAACCAACCGAGCCTAGATACTGATAGCTACTATCAGCTTACCACAGAAGAGTTCTCAGACATGCCTGTTTCCCTGAGCCTTAGTCAACAAGAACATGACCCTAGCTCATACAGTGTAGACTATGACATCTACAAACATCTACCCTGAAATGACAATGCCAGTGCCCATGAAACAGGTCATAAAAGACGACATCAGAAGAGAAGACGACACCTGGAAGAAGGAAAAGAAAGGCCAGAAAAGGAACAGTCCAAGCATAAGAGAAAAAGAAGCTATCAGGATAAAGATTTAGACAAAGACAAGAACACCGAGCAAAGTAAAGGAGACGAAGATAAAGCTGGAGTCAGCTCTGAAAAAATCAAGCATCGAAGAAAGAAAAGAAAGCATGAAGCTTCCTCAGAGGAAGAAGAATGTAAGCACAAAAGAGGGAAAAGGAAATCTGTTGAAGAAAGAACAGAAGAGGAAATCCTTTGGGATGAGTCAATTCTTGGGTTCTGAACCTATAGTATACTAAGAAGGGCTAAGCAAAAACAATATTGGTTTAGATAAAGACAGGAGTAAGTGTGAAATCAAGGAAAGGTAGGTACAGAATCAGCACAGAAAACCTTTGGGTTTCTTTGTTTTCGAAAGTTGAAATTGAACACAAGAAACAATATACAAGACATCTAAATCCAGCATTTAAGGAACTGTTTTGAGGTAAACGTACTCAAAGAATTTGAACTTTTAATTTTACTTAAGAAAACCAGTGGGGGAAAAATCTGATGAAATCGGTGGAGAAATTTTAGATGAAATCGAGTACTTCAGATGAAGAGAAGGGTTAAAGTCAGTGTCCATTCAAGAAAAGAGTCTCCCTCTGTGTATGTGTGTATTATGTATGTGTGCCTGTATATATGTGTATATGTATATATGTGTGTGATCGTGTGTATGTGTCCTGTGCTCTGCTCTCCTCTCCTCTCCTACTTCCCCCACTCCTCTTTTTCTGCCACTCCCTCTTTTCAAAATGTAATTGAAAGAAGAACCACAAAGTCTAAACCTAGCCTTCAAACAGCAAGAACACAATACTAAGAAGCATGAGCAGAGAAGAAACCTGCTGAAGAGAAAGCAGAAGATTCAGTGTTTTCTAGTTTGCAGTTTTATTACCTTAAGGTTGAAGAAAGGTTGAAAATTTTAGTTTCCTGAAATTTGTGTTCTTTGTGTATTTGTACATATGTACAGTTAATCTCTAATAAAGCCAGATGAAGTAAAATTATTCATTATGCTTTTCTAATGTCACTTTCTTTGACTTTCTAAGAAAGAAACTTACTCTACTGCTTATGTATAATACAGTTTTCTTAAAGTAGAGGTGTTCCTACTTTGTCCATCAAGGTGTAATGAAAATAAGTTGTTTGCTCATAGAAGTTATGTACTTAAAATGGTGAATTACAACGTGGTCTACAGCCATACCACCCTGAATTTTCCCAATCTTGTTTGATTTTGGAAGAATGGTCAGCCCTGTAGGAGACCAAACTTCACAGAATCCATTCCTTTTAAGAATTTGTGTTAGTATTGGTGGCATTTTACTACTGTCATGTGTTAACATTCTGTTTTCTTGAATGAAAATGTATGAAACAACGTACGTAGACTTTTTTGTTAAATCTAATTTGCAGTGTATTTTTGTATTTTCTAGTTTTGAAAGTGGAAAATTAGTGTATAATAAATTAGATGATATATACTTTTAAAATGTTCTCCAAAAGGGCTGATAGAAATCGGTCTATCATCGATGTGACTCGTCTCACATCAATGTTTTGGGGTTGTGAACTTGTCTAAGACCCCCCATAATTAGGCATCCAAATTCAAAATTCACATAGTTGGGATTGATCATAAGATGCCTTCTCTAACTAAACAGAGAAGGGGGAGATGCCAGAAGCCAGGACCCTCACCCTTACCCTCACCCCCTACCTTTCCCCACCTGTACAATGTCCCCTGAAGCTTGGCAACTGCAAGATCCTGCTTGGCAACTGCAGATAGACTCAAAGCAGTGTACCATATCTTCTGAAGAATAGCAGGGAGACCATAACTCAAGCAGTGTACCATATCTTCTGAAGAATAGCAGGTAGATCATAATTCAAGGCAGTGTACCGTATAGACCATGACATGTTTCAAGGCACAGGCCAAGAAGATTCTGTACTTTTCCACCACCTGGCCCCTCTTACCCCCTCCCCTTGTAAAACATGCTATAAAAAAGCATTTCATGTTCAAAAAAATAAAAAATAAAAAAAAAGAAATCGGTCTATATTCTGAAAAATGTTTATATTAAAGTGTTTTAATTTCTAAAAAAAAAAAAAAGCTTTCAATTGGCCTAGCACTTGTCATTCCAAGTCTTCCCCATGTGGAGTTAAAGTAAGACATCAGAAAAGGCAGCTGAAGTATAGCCACAGAGCACTTGGGTTTAGCATCCAATGGGGAAGGCAGATGACTTTGTAGGAAATTTTAGCTTAGTTCAGGGGAAGTGTGCCAAAAGAAGAAAGAGCCGATGGTGACAGGTCATTTGGTAAAGTCCTTTACTTGAAAGAGTGAGGTCCTGAATTTGATCCCTAGAGCCAACTTTTAAGAAGCAAGGTATAGTGAGTGGCTAATGTTTTTAATTCCAACAGTGAGGAGGTAGAGTCCTTGGGACTTGCCTTCAGTCAAGCCTAGCTTACTCGGCTGGTTCCAGGCCAGTGAGAAACCCTTACTCAAAAAAATGTAGATATCTATGGTTTCCACACACATGTATACACAGATGTGCATGTGTAACACACACACGCGGGCGTGCACACACACACACACGTGAGTTGGTGGTAGGACTCCACTGCCAAGAGCTTTCTTTTCTTAGGATGAACTACTGGACCTTCTCCTAAGGCATGCTCCTTGCCACCCACCGCCCCACCTTGAGTCTCTGAGGGGAGACTTATAGAGGAGGCTGTTAGAGAAGAGAATAGAGGTCAGGGCAGCCACAGGTCTGGACAGACTGCTGCCGGGCACATGGGACAGACTTGGCTTCTCTGGGACAGCCATCTCACGGGGCCACAGTTCCACAGCTTTCCTACACACAGTCACTAAGACCCTGTAGCCTCCCACTTTAAATACATATTAAAGAGTCTTTGATTTTCTTTAGAAGAAATTTAATTTTCTGACCTTTTCCTTCAGAGTGTTTTGTCTTACTTAGGTGAGACGGAAAGCTTGAGAAAATTGCCCCTTGGGGCCTGAAGATAGAGCCCTGAGGTGAGTGTTGGAGTTGGCTCAGGTGAATTTAAACAGTTCCCCAGCAAGATGGCAGTGACCAGTTGCTGTCAGACTGACACTGTGGTGGGAGGGAAAAGGGAGCAAGAGGTGTGAGCCCAGCTGTGCAGAGGTGGATTGACAGTTCCTAAGGTCATTCCCAGCTTCTTGCTGGTGAACTTGCAGCTGTTGAGGCTCTCCTATCTTGTGACAGTGGACACAGGTCAAGATTGCACAGCAGAGCCTGCAGGTACCATGTTCTTGCATGCTACCCATCTGATCCTTGGATGCACCTTATAAAGTGTTTTCTTGCAACTTTATGGTCAAACCCAGTGGAATCTGGAAAGCGTTGGTGAACAAGTATCCTGAAAAAAAAATACAAAAATGGCACTTTTCTTTTGAGTTTGTCATGGCTATTGTGGCAAAGCTTTCACACTGATTGGCTTAAAACCCAGATGTGTTCCTGCAGTTCCAGAATTCAGAAGTTCATTTTGAGGGCCATGTCTATTGAGATCTCTGCTCAGCCTTTCCATGCCCTCTCTGTGCAATTGTGTTCACACCTTCATTTTTTCATCTGCTGTCTGTTTCTGTCCCCAAATGTTCTGTTTGTAACACATCTGACACATTGAATTAAGGATCATGTAAATGATCATATTTCAATCCCATTACCTCTGCGAAGAGCTTATTTCAAAATAAAGTCACCTTAGGTACAATAAGAGTAGACCGTCGTTCAACCCATACATAGCACATACAGATGATCAAACAGATTTCTGTTTCAGAGTCTGAATGTGCCATGAATTGCTTGCTGCTGAATTCCCTTTACAGGCTAAAGAGACAGGGTCCTTCACTGTGGAGTCTTACACCTATGGGTGCTATTGCCCTGCACCTGTCTCTTTGCATCTGTCTAAGATCTTGAAAGGTGTTGCCATGACAACTGTGGGAGGCAGGTATTCTCATCAGACTCTGAGAAAGCAGAGATGCAACAAGGTCCTTTTGTTGAATGTTGTGTGAGTTTAACTCTAACTTAGGTCTCTCCTAACACCTGTGTCTTTATCCTTGACATGAGTAATTGTCCCCTGGGAAACTCACTGAAAATTTGGACATAGAGGCCTTGTTTGATACTTATGAACCTAGCTGACTCTATGTCACCTATAGAGGACATATAATGTACATTGATACATAACAAATGCAACAACAACAAATTTGGATAAATTTGAAGTGACAGCCAAATCACTTGTCTCCTCTGTCTTTGCTTAGCCATTTGATAGGGTTCCATTCAGTGGTGAGATACACTGGAAACCTGGGAGACAAAGGTCCTTGACTGGAGACATAGTAGGGTGATATTTGTCTAGGCACCAGGACAGTGCTGTTTCTGCCCTTTTGCTCTGATGGTCATTTCAATGGTAATCTCCTTCTCTTTGTCTATTATTTGCCCTTAGGCCTGCAAGGATTATTGATCATCCATTTAGGATTGGTAGCTCTGCTCTAAAACATATGTGTCATGCCAGGTAACATAAGTAGGTCTCCATCTCTTTCCCCTTCCAAAGCTGGGCTCCTAGAGGCAATTTAGTCATTGTCGTGATGGTTTTTTGTGATGCCTCTGGATGTAGCCACATTTGTACATTAACTGACTGCTTGTTGATCCAGTGCTCAATCTCCTTCTTGTACACCCCAGCCATGACCTGGGATATAGCACTTCTCCACATGTGCTCCATGGATTCAGTGGTGTACCCCTTACCTGATGGTATGTGAAGACAGGTTCCAGGATAAGGATGGATTTGCCATGAAGTTATGAAGTTGAGTGTTCAAGACCTTCACAGACAGAAGACAGAGAGCTCTTCTATAGCCCCATAATAGTTTTGTAATTTTTTAAGGATTTATTTTTGTTTTTAATTTTGTGTATGTCTGTGTGAGGCTATGAGTATCTGCTACAGACATTTATAACCCAACTTTTACATGCACTCTGGATATCCAAATTCTGGTCTTCAGGCTTGTGCAGAAAGTGTTCTATCTCCCAAGCCACCTCTCTGGCTGGATCCCTAAACATTTTAATGAGTAGAAGTGTAGAACTGAGTATGTAAAAGAATAGGGAAAGTCACTCTCCTGGCCCTCATATCTTAGTATTGAACCTTTGAAATCAAATCAAAAGTAAACAGTTTTGCTTTTTTAACTGTTTACTGCTGATGTAGGAGCTGCAAGTAGTGCAGATTGACTCTCTTCTGCTTTGGGAGTTTAGGGGTCTTACAGTCAAGGTGTGCGTGGGGGGCTTTGTTCTTCTAGTGGCTCTGGAGAGAATGTTTTTTTCTCCCTCTATGAGAAGTTTTACATTTTTGTAACAATAGTCAAATTTGGCCAGTAGAGA